ATTCTATTCTATTCTATTCTATTCTATTCTATTCTCTGGAGCACTGTCCCGGCCTGATCTTACGGTGTACCGGTAAAAAGCACAATTTGAAAAAACTTGACTTTAAAGCATTTTTAGAGTGTAGCCTAACTTCTTTACTAGACATATAAACTTACTCTTTAGAATTGCTAAGTGTGTCCTCTATCCATTTCCATTGCGCGTCAGCCTTAAGAGGATCCTCGGGGCCTGGCAGGATGGAGTCAGGTGTGTGGTCGTCGGTGTTACCAGTCAGTATCACGGTGTCAATGAAAACTATCAGCAAGGTAGATTCAGAGTTTGGTATGGAGAACCGTTTAGTGTAGTATAGGTCAGGATAGTTCCTTTCAAGAGATAATCAGATGACATACACGTGACTAATTGATCTAATTAACCATGTCAGTATCCTCTTCAAAATTGCGATGTGCACACAAATAATATCGCCACCCCGATTAAAAAAAAAGGCGTAGAATACAATGCTTCTCTAAATATCAACGTACTGAAGGTGATATAATTGCAATACTAGCGCCTCCAGTGTTCGATTGGCACTTCACACCACAGACATTTATATAGGGTATATGCGCATACCTACCACCTATCGGAAAACTTTGTGTATGCTAGTTGTGCCGATATGTTACCGATGTGGTCGTGATTACCAGCACACACGTACCACGGTCTGTGTAGGGAAGCTGCAGTAAATATGTCCTCGTAAGTTGTCTGTAAAGTCAAAGGTCGTTTATGTAAACAACTCAACCAATTAATCATACACAATACATATATCAATGCACAGTCCCTCTATAAATCTATATCTATAGATAGAGGGTGTGATCAATGTATGAGAATCAGCGTTGAACAATCTGAGCTTTATATACCGCAATGAAACACGTGACTATAAAACTGGTTAATAGTTTGTTTCCGTTGAAACAGAGGATCAGATCCCTGATTTCACAGTGGGGTTTTATTTGATTATATTGTTCACACATTTCATACAGCAATATATGATCACCAAGAAGCTTCTCGTACAAAAAATAAATTAAAATTCATGAAAATGGCGATTAACTATTGGTTTCTATAGTAAAATGGTCTTACTATATCTCAACTTGAAAATTTCGTTCGGTTACATATATGATCATAATACCATAATATGATGGTGTGAAATTTATTAGATGGGAATTTTAGTGAATGTTATTTATTTTCAGATTTTTTTTCGAAAATAGAAGTTCGTACATGGTGAAAAACACAAAATGATGATGACATTACATCAATAATTTTGTAATATTTTTGAAACAACAAATTGTGCTAAAATTAATCCCGCTCATTGAGTTGAATGTCAGTGAACGACCTTGAGTTCACGAGAAACGTTTCAAGCTGTTATATATCTACGTAATATGTCCACATTTGTATTATATTCTTAAAGCGTGGGAGTCGTCACCTTCGCATGCGTCAGGTGACCATAGCGTGTCATTGTTTACAAACAAGCACCTACCCATGAGCCTTTGCGTCCTAACGTGTGTTGTTATCTTCGCTTGGGACTCAATTCTCGCGCGTGCGCGGGTGACGACCCTCCCGCTTTAATATTGGCGTGCACACCGACACGACATGGCATGTTGGACTGGGGGTGTGACTA